GCTTTGATTCACCAAAACTGGAAACATTGGTTACAGAGAAATCACTTTTTGAATTTAAAAGCCAGGAATGAATATCATTTTACTTCTAAAATAAATAATGGCAGGAGGGGGAAACAGGACAAAGATAAAGGTATAATGCATTCAGCCCAGGCTTACTTGTGAGTTTGGGTCCTTGCTTCTTTGCGCTGATAGAAAAGCAACAGCCATAAAATATTCTGACCATTCCAGATAGTCTTCTCGTTTTTTGCATGGCGCTTCATCACTCCTGAGGAATTCATAAATACAAATCCAGTCACTCACATGCTATGATATTGCTCATAGAATCTTACAACGTTGCAGGCCCCTTCAGCCCATTGTGGCTGGAGCTCCGGATACATCCTGACCAAAGACTCGCTGATGAGCAATCAGCTGTGCATTGAATTACTACTGCCCCGTTGGGACTTTAAGCACATCTCTCTGAAACCAATTTAATCCCAGGGAGACATCATTTAATTTCCTCCTTCCCGGATATATAAAAAAAACTAAGAAGGATAAAGAGCACTGGGCTACAGACACCAAACATTATGCAGTAGTCACAAGTCTGGTGCTCAAATGATTGAGCTCCAATGAAGACTCATTTTCAGATCAAATCAAAGCACCTTCATTGTTATTTATTTAGATTTTGTACTGGAACATAGTTCTGAGGACCCTTCAGTAACTACTTAGTACCAGGCAGAAAGGCACAGTTGGACATGTTCCGCTTCCCAGCACTGATAGAACCTCACTTTGATCAGCAATCGTTGTAGCAGCAGGTAGCCGGGAGCCTGGAGCAGCCATGTTAATTTGCTGCCGCAAATTTAATTGTAGAGCAGAGATAAGGTGGGAGCTTCGCATTTTTTATGAAGTTTGTTTATTCCGTATGAGCCATATGATATAAACCAATTATTTGCCTACAACAAATTACATTCTGTAGCACTTTACAATGCAGGACTACATCTCAAAACGGATTGCGAGAGATATTGAGAGATTTTGGAGAGAGTTCCAGAACATGGGTGCAAACTAGCTGAAGGCTCACCAGTGTTTAGGGAGCACCAGAGGAGTAAGGGTTGCAGGAGTTGTTTGAGCTGCTATATTCAAAGTGATGAATATCGCTCACAATATTTTTCCACCCTTCACTTCCATTACTTCCGCACAGCCCCCCCATACACACACACACAGCCCCCCACCTCACACACACAGCGCACCCCCCCCCACACACGCACAGCCCCCACGCCTTGGGACGTCAACCCTTTCAGGTCGGGAGGACGTCCCAAGGCGCTGGACAGTTGGGTTGGGACCCGAGCAGGGGGGACATGGTCAGGGTGAGGGGAGGGAAGGGAGGGAGCGAGGAGGGGGTAGAGAGTCGAGAGGGGAGCTGAAGGCACGGTCAAAGAGAAAGGTCTTGAGACCGGCCTTGAAGGAGGAAAGGGAGGAGGCGGCGAAGGCACTGGGGGATGGAGTTCCAGAGCCTGGGGCTGAGAGGCTGAAGGCCCGACCACCGATGGTAGGGCGGTTGGGGCGGGGGACGTGGAGCAGACCGGAGCCAGAGGAACGGAGGGTACGGGCAGGTAGGTAGGGGGATAGTAGGTCGGAGAGGTAGGAGGGAGCAGAGGCCGTGAATGGCCTTGTAGGTGAGGATGAGGATCTTGAATCTTGATCCACGGGGAATGGAGAGTGGAGGCGAAGCAGTGAGTGGGAGGGTGAAGATCCACATTGGTGCGGGAGAGTGACACGGCTGCAGAGTTCTGGATACTGCAGCTTGTGGAAGGGAGTGAGCGGGAGGCCGTCGAGGAGGGATTGCATAGTCAAGCCTTAGGTATGAAAAGCATGGATGAGGGTTTAGCAGCGTGAGGGGTGAGGTAGTGCCGTAGTCTGGCGATATTCCGGAGGTGATGGAAGGCGGTGCCAGTTGTGGCGCGGACACGAGGGAGAAAGGACAGCTCAGGGTCGAACAGAACGCCGAGGTTCCTGACTGGCTTTGAGAGGTGGAGAGTGCAGCCTTGGATACTGATGCTGTCAGCGCCTGAGGTGCGAAGGCGTTTACGGAGCAAATCAGGAGGGCCTTAGTTTTACGCACGTAGAGCTGAAGAAAGTTGTCTCTCGTGCAGGACTCGTTGTCGGACAGGCAGCTGTCAGGACATCGGTGGTCGTGGAGTTGAGAGTAGAGGAGGAAAGGTAGAGTTGGGTGTCATCCGCATACATGTGGAAGTTAACCCATGTCTGCGGATGATGTCACCAGGGGGAGCATATAGAGGGTGAAGAGGAGGGGACCGAGGACAGAGCCCTGAGGGACACCAAATGAGACAGTACGGGAGGTGGAGGAGAAGCCATTAGTGCAAACAAAATGAAGGCAAAATGACACAGCCCCAACATAAAAAAAGCTTTATATTGTGATGCAAGGGCGGTGGGGTGGTTAGTCTGGAAACATGAGATCAGATGGGCTAAGGGGCCTTCTTCATCCAAAACTATCTTACGATCTTGTGAACCTTAACAATGAGGACCGACAGGTTATTTGATTGCAGAGGAGATCTCAGTTGCCTTCATACGGTTTCAATACAAGGACACTCCAGCAGGGGGTGCTGGTAGAGATAGGTTAAAACACGTCTTCTCTGCCTGATGTTTTCTTTTTGAGCGCTGAACAGTTGCGATGGCCCTAACGCTGTCCAATTAAGATCAGCTAACTCAGTAAATAACAGGGATAAAACTGCGACCTTTGTATAACTCAGTCAGTATGACTCAGTTGTTAGCTTCACAAAACCATCGGGGTAACAACAGAGAGTTTTTAATCCTTGCATTTGATATAGCGCTTTTCACATCTTCTAGACATCTCAAAGCGCTTCACAGAATATACTGTATTCTGTGGGTTCTTGTTTTTGCAACGAGAACCTTTTATTTATTTAAGTTTGGATTTGTAAGAGTTTTACTGCTGAGCAAGTGTAAGCATGTGAAGATACCTGTTGCAGTCTGTTCAAATATGAATATATTTTCTAGAATGCTGTGTTTCATTTTGCTAGCAAAGTACTTACTACTTGGTTTCGTGCCTAAGTGACAATTTAACAGAGATTTTAAAAGTACTGTAACTTTGCAAGGTTGTGTTTGAGAACACAAATATGTCATGAATTGACCTTTTAACACATTTTCCCTTCAGTATAATTTTCACGGGAGAGGTTGCAAGGTCACTGGGACTTTATCACGTTTCAATATTATGGCACAGACATGATAAATCTCTCAATTTTTTTAAACCCTTTCAAACACCACTGCCCTGTCTTTCATGTTTTTTAAAAAAACAAGTCCCAACCTGATCTGAGGGGTTTCTGCAATAAAACAGTCATCCCATGTTAACAGTTCCACCAGAACCTAACCAATACTGTATTTATACTGCATGGTTTGCAGCAATGTACTGCAAAATGTCCCGTGTACCTTGGGCTTGAGCAGAACCCTGCCCTGAGAGTGCCTTAAGGAGGGTGTTTCAGGAGTAGTTTGATTTTTACTGTTGCTTTATAAACACAGTGGAGTGATTCAATACAAGCTGCACTCCCCAATGGTTCCTTAAGGGGATCAATTGACCTGCCTAAGAATTTTCAAAGGACTGCTTTTTAATGTTCCTAGAGGGTCAATTGCAGAATTCTGTGAACGCAATGACATCTGGTGTCAAGTTTCTGATGGGACTAAATCACTGTGCTGTGTAGCTGGAGTTATGTTTTAGATCTGGGATAATCCCGTAGTAGTTCTGAACATCTTTCTTTAAAAAAATATTGATTTATTTTATTGTGGGGGAGTTCAAATGACTATAATTTGCTGATCTATTTTCAGCTCACTTGGTCCCAAATACAGTCCAGCTGGCACATTCAAGCAGGTTGGAACTCAGGACAGTATGTTTGGCATTTCAATACTTCCAGCCACAGATACCAGAATGATTGAGTTCTCTTTGGAACAACCAACGCCACAGGGGTCTGTTACATTAAGCACAGCTTGGCACACAATCCAAGAATTTAAGACAAGATGCCCTGGAATTGGGACACTGTTTCAAGATGTAGAAAATAACAATGATGTTCAGCATTTGTGTTGTGTGCTGTGGCAAAACTCAGTAAGAGTGAGATCTAATTCTTTAAACAAATCTGCCCCCACCCCCATATGAAGTCTTTGATATTTTGCAGATGGATATCTCGGATTTCTTGGCTCTGCCACTGTCAAGCATTCTGGGATGCTATCCTGCTCGAGGGGAGCTATATAAATGCAAGCTGTTGTTGAATAAAACACATATCTATGTCATTTCAGTTCCAGGACACAGGATGCCAGTACTCAAGCAAATAAAGGAACATGGTCAAAGGAAAAGCAAGAGAACATGGGTTCAGGATTCAAAGTTCAATTTCAGAACAGACACCAGGAAGTATTTAAATTCACGGACTGGAATCAGTGGATGAGGCTAGGAGCCTGAACTCATTTAAGCTTGTGCTCTAATGGGAGGAAGGTGAGAATGGATATTCGAAAAGGTTGAAATGAAATGGGCTGAAGGAGCTTTTTCATCTAAACCTCTCTTGTGATCTTGTGATTATTTTAAATGTGAAACAAGCAGTAAAGAGCAATAACAAAAAAAGAACTGGGGATAAAAAAAACTCTAAATGTTCCATTTTATCATTGGTAATTGAACCCATATCACCTTGCAGTGGATGAGTGCAGTGAATTCTCACCATTCTGGCATTCACTTTTCTTTGATGATAGCTTCCGCATGAGAATCAGTTCTGGGCTGCGAAACCTGCACTCTTGCTTCCAAAAATTAGTTCCACTGCCCTATCAGTAAACAGTTAATTTTTAGCCTGGGAGATGGTGGATTTCAATACCCTCGGCATATCATTTCTAGAAAATAAATATTAAGTCAAGATGCTGTTCTAAGGTTTACATTTCTAATACATGCTTACTTTGCTTCATTAGTCTCGAGTGCGGTGGAAATCTGATTTGAAGGAAGAGACCATATACCAGGAAGGGTGCGCCTCCATCTAATGATCATTTATGTAACACATAATATTGCACCAAACATTGCAAACTTTACACGCATGTTCTTAAGCCAAAAAACGTAAGCAATTTGGGGCCTCAGGCATGAAAGGAATTGAGTCCATGTGTTCACTGCAGAGCTTGCTGCCGTTCACTATTAAGACTTCCACAAGAGGAATCACCACTCGGATGAAGTAAAGGAGGATGACCAACATCCTCCAATCTACACATTCCCCATATTCCTACAAATATACAGTGACAAGACATAATCATCATAATAATGCATTTGATATAGTGTTTTATTACATTGTTGAGACGTCTCAGAGCACTTCACAGGGTATTTTGTCGATGAAATGTGGCAGCCATTGCACACAGAATTTTCCACAAACAGCCATGGATTGAATGAATAATTTTATTCAGGGGATTGTTGACTAGGACTTTACGGTAAATTTTGTGAGATCTAATTTTTTAAACAAATCTGCCATCAAAATAGTTTTCTTTTATATTTTGCAGATGGATATCCCAAACTAGTGGGTTGGTTCACTGTTATGTCTTACTTTATTTTTCTACTCCTACTATCTTATCTGGTGTCCTAAAGGTATTGACTCTTGTTGTTATATGGTTAAAAAGATATAATCCTTGCATTTGATATAGCGGTCTGCCCTCAGAGTCCTACTGACAAGCCAAGAGCACGCATCAGTTTGGATGAAGAAGGTCTTTTGGCCACATAAAGAAGTGATTGTTAAAATTGTTAGATTAGATTTAGGTTTCTCAGAATTCATGATGGATTTTAATGAAAGTATCAACCTTTGAAAGAATGAAATCAACCCTAATGACTTCTTCCGGGAGCAATAGCTTTGCCCTTATTAATAGAAGCTTCCATCTGCTCTCTGTCGTACAACAACAGATTGCACTTAGAAAGCGCCTTTCGCATTGACAAGGTCTCAAAGTGCAAGCCAACCTGGATGGGCCACAGGGATATGGGGGCAAATGGCTGAAGGTCGGTCAAAGAGATGCAGTCTCAAAGAGATTGATCCCTTTTCAGCAATCAGACTTATGTCAATAAGTTATATTTCACAAATGCAAGGTCTCTTGTATGTGAGGTTTTTTTTATACCATCTGACTAGACTCACTTTGTCAAATTCATACAGCCAAGTCCTGACATAACTAGTCTCCTCAAGGCTGTTACAAAGCAATCAGAAAAAACTCACTGAAATGTTGAGCGAACTGTCTGCAATGATGACAATTCAGTGACGATATTGATATTCCAAGCAACAAAAGTGCCAAAAGTACAATCATTGTTCCTGTGTAAAAGTCATTCTTGAATGATTACGGTTAGATGATGTTTGACCTTCTGTGCACAGGCAATGAATCAGCAGAAAATGTATCATAATCTGTAGTCAGGAAGTAATTTTTAAATAACGTCAGGAAGACTTTGGAAGTAATTTTTGATTAACTTGGATATTCAAGGATAGCAAAGATAATTAGGACTAAAAGACTATTATTCTAATAATAATTATTGCATTTGATATAGTGCCTTTCACATCAGGAGGATATCTCAAAGCAATTCACAGGATATACAGTAATATTCTGTAGGCAAATGCAGCAACCAATTTGCACATAGCAGTGTCCCACAAACAACCATGAATTAAATGCCCAATTTTACATGGGGAAATGTTGTCCAGGACACCAGGAGGAACTCATTTTCTTTTCAAATAGTGCAACAGGTTCTTAAATTTGGAGTCCTGTAGCTCAGTGGTTAGAGCACTCGCTTTGCATGTGAGAGACCTGAGTTCAATTCCAGGCACAGGGCGAAACCTTGGGCAAGTTTCCTTACTCCACACAGAGCCTAATAATAATCCCTCCAAAAAAACCAAAAACAATAATAAATTGGTCATTTTCAATCTACGACTGTTTGTGGGACATTGCTGTGCGCAATTGGCTGCCGAGTTCTTCCACAAATATACAGTCAGTTCACTTTACAGTGTGTTCTGTGAAGCACTTTGGGACGTCCTCCCGACGTGAAAAGCCCTATATCAAATGCAAGGATTATTATTATTATTATTATTATAAATGTCCAGCTAAACATGCAGATGGGACTCAGTTTAACTTCTCATTTGAAGGATGGCACCTTGATCTACGCAGCTTTCCCCAGCACTGCATTAGAGTGTCAGTGCAGACCAAAGGTCTCCAACTGGTCAGAGCATCAAGAAGTGGCCCACAAACACCCTCACCATTAAGACAAGTCTGAGACAAAGTTCCAGTAGCTACTGAGCCGTGATATTAATGGCGCTGAATTTAAAGTGCTTTGAGCCATCTCAAGGCACTATATCAAATGCAAGGATTATTATTATGTTATTATGGCACACCATCGATTAAGAAAAATTCAATAAATAAAAATCTATCAGCCAACAGAAAGGTTGGTCACTACTGGCCTAGACTACGTGCATTCAAAGTCCTGAACTCACAGACGTCTGATGCAGTGATGAGAGAACTACCAACTGAGCCAGGCTGCCACCTGTTCAGCTGTTCCTTATAGTTCCTTCTGAGTTGTGTATATGCATTGGAAAATAATGTTGAAAATCAACAAGGAATTCAACCCATACTAAATTTTCTTTCCAACAAAATGGATTGAACAACTTTGGGGATTGCTGTGCTCTGTGAGCTCCAGGTAGAAGATTCGATGATATGGCATACCATTATTCTGATTTGTTCTGTACATTTCATAAATATGTCACTGTGTGCATGGGAATAATTAATGTAATATTAATTTATGAATATTAAATTAAATCATGCAATGACATTAATTATTTCTAATTGTCCAGGCACAAATTTGCAGAATATTTTATTCCTGATCTAATCTCTCCTCTAATTTTCTCTACTCCCTTCCTCTCAGGAAGCTATTTGACTCCCTTTTTCCTCTTACTGTCATTCAATGGGACTGCTTACCCCAGGTAGCCATAAATGAACATGTGAGTTTTGATAATGAGCAGAGTTAGACTATTCAGTCATGA